TCTCTATTGAATCCTTCCTACCTCGCTTTCTCCGATGCCAGTCAAGGTAGCTCCTCATATGGGCAGACAGGATATGTCTCCGGTCTATACCTGCCAGCAGGGGGTGTGGGGATCCATCATGTCCTTGACTGGATCAGTTGCAAGCAGAAGCGTGTAGCTTTTTCTTCCATGGGGGCGGAGATGCTCGCCGCTGCAACCTCATCAGACAGAGGCTCGCTAATGGCGGAGAGCCTGCAATCTCTCCACACCGCCACGGTCAAGCTTCCCTTCGTGCTGACGGTGGACTCACACGGGTTGCACTCCACCGTGACCACCCTGCATGAAGGCGCAGACTACCGGTTGAGGCCGACAGTGGCAAGGATGAGGGACTCTTTCGAGAACGGATAAATATCAGTCGTGCAATGGGTAAGCGGTACGCAAAACCCTGCTGACGCATTAACGAAGAGAAACTTGGAGATGTTCAAGATTCTTAACGGAATCATGCAGAGAGGTCTTCTAGAGAACGAGGTTCTTCAAGGCTCAAGGCGGATCAAAAGAGCATCGAGCAAGTCAATGTGACAATCGAACGCCTTTACTCGCTGTCGTCTTCGACTACCCTCATCTTCTTTGTCCTTCTAGCCACCAATTTATGTTCCGATGGAATCTTCTTCTTTTGTCTGCTGGTGCTGCGCTGTTCCCCAGACTTCTTCCGGTTTCTCTTGCCCTTCCCGACCGGCTGCAGCTGCAGCTCCCTCATCTTAACCACTTCGAAAGAATCACTTCCTTGTCCAAGACACGCACCCAAGACACCGGGTCGATTAGCAAGCGCAAAGTGCTCTACATGGTCTAAGACGTGCCCCTTCAGGGCGTCGAGAACCACTACGTGATCTAAACGCTCGCAAAGGACGTCCAAGGCGACGATCCTTATCAGGAAAACGCCAGAATCTCGATCACTCATCCACTTACTGTGACCTTCCAAGATGGATACATCGCACTTCTTGAGGCCATATCTTCCAAGGTTCTTCCCATTCCACACTTGTAGTTCGGCTAGGCTCCGAGCCCCTATGGGTCCCTTGCGGAGCATCTCAAGCACTGAACCCTCGCCGATAACACAGCGCAACGCGTTGGCGAAGGACGCACGCGCGCATTCGCCGTGTGTTGCTCGGCAGAACACGGACTCGCGTGTACGATATGGCTGCGTCCGCTCCGTCATCTCGCGGTGACCAGGGCCTCCGATGGAAACGAAGTCGTCAGGGTGACTGCTGCAGTACCGATACAACCACTCCATAGCCTCGACTCTCTTTCGGAGTCCAAACACCAGCTCGACTTCCGCGTTCGACTGCCCGTCCCATTTCAACACCTCAAGGTCACTGGTGATTGGACTGCCTGCCTCATCTAACATCGGCACGACGCTCGCCTCTAGACTATGGAAGTCCACTTTCCAAAATGTCTTCCGCCCGCCTACGCTCCTATGTGAAGCGTAGTAACGTCCAGGGCGGATTTCGTGGGTCTTGCCGGAGGCGAACACGACGCGTCGCACCTCCCAACGCCGTTGCTCGAAGTCCAACAATCCAACTTTGTTCAACAAACCCCACCTCTCCATGACTGCAACCACCATCTTCCTGCCCTTTCTCTCCGCCAACCAAGAAAGAAGCACCCTCGACGCCTCCTGCCCTAGGCTGAGATTTTAAAAGACCCTCTCCAGGCTGAAGGTCTGCTCAATCCCCCGAACGACCAACAGAACCTCGCTTGATTTCCATTTCCCTCCTAGCCACGCCATCGACTCGACCGCACCCTTACCTTTCCCTTCCGTGAGCCACAGACCCACCATCCAGCGGGCAACGCACGACCACCGATCCCTGTCCTGCCGGCACTCTGTAGGTTCGAGGAGGTCGCGCGCGACTCGCGGATGAGCAGGCCTGCGGAGATTGGGCGTTTCGGAGAAAGGGAAGCGTCGGTGTGCGGGAGGACGGCGAAGGTCAGAGGACAGTTGCGGTAGACTAGATTCGACAGATGAGCAGCGTATGAAGTGCGGAGGACCGGCGGTGTGGACCTCATGAAGGGCAGTGTGCTACGCGAAGCGACGAGCAGCGATCGCGAGCGGGCTGTGTGAGACTGTGGCGAAGAGCGGCGAAAGCGAACGCCGCAAGTAGTGCTCGAGCCTGCGACGAGCGCCAGAGAAGGAGAGCGAGAAGAGAGAAGGGGAGCGAGAAGAGAGAAGGGGAGCGAGAAGAGAGAAAGGGAGCGAGAAGAGAGAAGCGATGAAAAGGCGCACGTCGGAGTGCGGAGCGAGTAAACCTACGTCCGAGCGTTGGATCCGTAAGTGGACCTGGGCTATCACCGCCCGAGAGTTAGCGATCGAATTTCCGGTCGCGGCGGCGCGGTGTCAGGTACGTATAGCGTTGGCGCCGACGGCAAGACGGCCGGCGCCGCGCACTCCACTTTAGGGCCAGCAGGGGGTGTGTGGGAAACTAGAAATTGAAGTTTATTTGGTTAGCCCTAAATCTGGGAAAAAGAGAAAATTATCCGCGCGACGCGCCGGCGGGAAATCCGGTGATATTAAAGTCCGAGGGCGGTATCCCGGCCGGCCCTCAGTAGTAACTTGCTACCCGATCAGAGTGCCCCGTTCGAGTCTCGAGACTCTCCGTCCGCGCGACGCGCCGGCGGGAAATCCGGTGATATTAAAGTCCGAGGGCGGTATCCCGGCCGGCCCTCGGGGGTAACTTGCTACCCGATCAGAGTGCCCCGTTCGAGTCTCGAGACTCTTCGTCCGAGGTATCCCCGTCCCCCTCACTCTCGCGACTCCTTTCCCGCGCCACTGCGCGCGGCCGAGCGCGGCTACTACTAACCTCATCGTTCCCGTTCACCCACAGCAAGAGATGTATGACGGATTGAAGGTGTTTCCGCAAGAGATAAAATCGAGCCGATTAGAGCTCCCCTATCGGTGCTGTGTATATGTAAATATTTAGCATATAGAGATACATATAGCCTCTTTCATCCCTATCGGACTGGTTATCTCCAAAATTTTGGCCTTTTTGGCTATATCTATCTCTATATTGGAAGCCGGATGGCGACAAATTTACTCATTTGACCATATAGAGACGCGAATTACATGGCGCCACTTGGCCAAAAGACCATAGAACAGTGTCAATACAGTACCTCTCGTACTCGATGCCCCGCACCCCTCGTACACTATGCCCTATCAGGGCACTTCAATTTCAAATCTACAACTACTAAAATCGTTGTCTGTGTGTCTGTCTGTATGTCCTTGCGCTCCCGCGTTGCCATTGGCGCACGGGGGCGGCGCCGCGGTGACAAGTGGCGGCCACGGGACACGTGGCGTGACAAGTGCCGCGCCCCGGGTGACAAGTGGCGACACGTGGCCAGTGGCGGCCACGTGCGGGGCGGCCT